AACTTTTATGTGTTTCATATTAAAAATTTAAAGTGTAAATAGAAGAGGCAAAGTGTGACAAATCATGCTTCTGATTTAGATTAGATGGATTATTTATTAGCAGCAGCCTAAAGATGAAGAAGTCCTGCAATCTAGAGAGTTTGAATTTAGTAACTAAATTAAAGGTGAACACAAACATTTAAAATGCCTTCTTACAGTTCTAAACCTTTACCCTTTCCCTGACAACCCCCCAAAAAGATGTACCATTTCGTAAATCAGGATACATACATCAAGCATCAATCTTTGTTTTTTTAATACAGTTGTCGACATACTCTAGGTGAAACGTTCCTTATTAATGCAATATGTATAAATGAATGCTGGACAAGAAGCTGTACAAAACGAGCAAAAGCAGTTGATTGAACCAACACATAATATTCAATTCTAATCACAATGTTAAGGCAGCGTTTGGTAAAAACATTTATTAGAAATTTAACTGCTATTGTGTTCTCAATGTACAAAGTAATGTGACAACATTTCATTTATTTCTGAAATGTTTTTCTATCATGCAATCCCCAAAAGCAATCTCAGATTTAATTGAAAAAAACTAACTTAGAACAACTATGGTAATTATAACTATAATGTGCTAATGATGTCTAATGCTGTGATTTTTACTACTAAAAATAAAGAGCACCTCTTAGAAAAGAGAGAAATGCACATTAACATCTCTTGTATTATTCAAGTCTTTGTAAAAATTTTCAGAAATCACATTTTGATATCTTGTTTTATTGCAACAGTTTATTGTTTTGTTTTTTTTTAAGCTTGGTTAATATTGAATTGTTGCTTGGACAGAGGAAGACTCATGGAGCTTAGTTTAACTCACCAATGACTGAAACCAAAATCTAATGAAAAGCAAAATCCCTCTTTGTAGTTAGGCATCCTAATAACACGTCATATATGTATTTCTTACTAATCCACACTTATGGAGAAGTGCTAGAAGGCTAAAAGCCTGAAGCAATGCATGGGGCGGCATATGGCAGTCCTGAATGATTTAAATGCTCCCTTTTAGATTATATAATTAATGTCTGAACAAATCAGGATTAGCTGCAGTTTTTCTGCCAGTCAGGTTCTTATCATGTTCAGTCATGACATTGCAAAACCAGACAGCAGAACGGTGAGTGTGGCTGTTTCTTCTACTGGCATAATTGTGGGGTCTCCTTGTGAGTGGGTGTGTCCTTTTGATGTTCTAGACTTGTGGGGTCAAAGGTACAGACAGAGATACAGACAGATTAGGTGGCGGTGAGGAAAGTGTGCTCAAACAATATAAAAGTCTATATTATCCGTTATATTTTAGGGAATCGCTCTGATCTCTATGATTCATCTGGAAATGTTTTCAGAACCGTCCATCTCTTTACTCTGTAACCAAGTCCTCATGTTAATTTCGTCTCTCTTCTTCTTGTTTTGCAGATGGAAGCCATGCTGGGACGTCTGACTGAAGAACACGACCAACAAACCTGCTCCTTTATTTTCTTCTCAGCACTTCTGACACAAACGCTTTGAAATTAACTTTAACTTTACGTTGATTTAAACAATATATGAATGTTTTGTTCGATTGTGCCGTTAATGATGTGTTACTGTAAACAAGCTTTTGTCTCTTGTTTATTAGCTAGAATAAAATAATATATTTTTTAGAGAGCAGCTGAATTTATTACGCCGTGTTAAAGATGATCACTAGATTATTTAATGTCTGCCATGTTTGCAGTTTATGACTTTATATTGAATGAGTCAAGCTTCACTCATCTTAAAAGTAGAAAAACTTTGAGAAAAACGTTAAGAGATAATTTAGTGATTAGTAAACAAAAATGTACTTCAACTTAATGTAGATATCTTTGCAATACAATAATAAAATATATTCTATTTATTTATGTGGTTTTTTTTATCTCCTTGGGTCTGGAGATTTTTGAGGAAATTCATTTTTTTAAAGAATTTGTCTTTATTTTTTTGTACATTAAAAGCTGGTGACAGTGAAATGTAATATAAATTATATTATTATATAACAATATATTATCTATATATTATATTATTTTAGATGTGTATTTTGTTTTTTTTGTTTTTACCATTTTAAACAAGTCTAAAGTGCATAATAAATAAAATGTTTTATTATTTGTGTTTGTCTTTTTTTTTTTTTTTACACTTTTCATTCTAAACATATATTTAATTATCTGCACATCTTATTTTTTTTCTTCTGAACTAATTGTTTTCAACAAAATTTAAAACTCTAAATTAGCTGTGTATGGCCAAAGTAGAAAAAAAAATAACTTTCAATATTATGCCAGAGATTGTCAAACTAAGCTTCTAAGCCAAAACCCAAGCCAAAAAATAAGAATGTCATTGGCTTGAATTACTAAATTAAAATGAAATATCTTTGACACAGAAAAAAAAGAGAAAATCTCAAACTGAAATAGTTTTTTCTGTTTTTCTATCAGTCAAATTGGAGGATATAAATATTTAGGCCTTCAAATCTCTGCCTTGGTCATTTTAGTCTGTAAGATTTTTTTTGGTTAATTTCTTTTATCTAAAATAAGAGTTAATTTGAACAAAGGGGGAAAAATAATCATACTACAATAAGATATATTTTTAATAGAATATCTTAAAATAAACTGCTTGCAATTACAACAGAATATCTGCCGTGTGTGCTAATGGATTTAAGGAAGTGTAAATATAACATTTATCAGCGCATGGTATTATATTTTATTTGTTATGAGGTGCATGTAAGTTATTATTATGTTGTAAACTAGTTTTGAACGCTTTTTGTAGAAGAAAAACCTGAGGAACCTTTTTTTTTTAAACATTTAACCTCGTAGGGTAAAAAATGGAAATTAAAGGAATGTTTCCGGTGATTTTTTTTTTGTGACGGGTGCAACTATCTTCTGAATAAATGCAAATTGCAGCTGCCTCCATCCGGCATCATGCCAAGTATCTATAGCAACACCATCCTCCAGCAGCCCCCATCCTTCTCTCCCTCCTTCACTCTCTAATTAGCCTTCTGTCTTCCTTTTAGCTGCTTTCTCATTGTGTGCCCCTTTTTTTTCCTACATAAAAATATGCACAATCTAGCTGTCCATAAAGGCAAAGCAATTTAACTGCTTTTAAAAGATTACAAGCCTTTACCCTAATATCAGTTTGCTTCTTTTTTTTTTTTACAGAAAAAAAATAAAAGCTAAATCAAACCATTAAAATATTGTAATGTAAGCAATTAAATTATCTAAATCTTATTATTTTATTATCATATTTTTATTATCAGTTAGTGTTTCAAGACATAATGATGCGTTCAAGCCCAAAGCGTGTCTGCGGCCTCGGACAAATGAACCCCTGTTCCTGAGCCTGTTTTCAACCATAAGAACAAGGTTGTTCCGCCCCCTGTCGGCTTTTATGATGCACTGCAGGTTGCAGGTGACCAGTGATTTATTAGAGGAGCGCGCCCTCTTGTGGATTAAGTGTGTCATTACATAAATGATCACTAAAAATACTCGTTTATTTGTATTGCAGACTCATGAACATGACTGAGAATCTTCACAAGCGAACTAAAGGAAAGCATCAAGTGTTCATCCGGGTCATAGCAGCCTTAAAAGAGGCTTATATCGAGCTACCATGCTGACTCTGAATCGGAGGAGTCAGCATTCACCTAAACGTCTTAGATAAACATATTTCTGTTGTTTCTTTTCATTTTCAATTTGGTTTTAGATATTGTCATTTTGAAATCCCTACAGTGGCTTCAATGTTCTAAATAATTTATATCAAATGCTCTATAAATGATGATAAAAAAATAAAAAAATAAGAGCAGCAGTTTAAAATAAAATTTCAAACTTAGTCCACTAGTGAGTTCTTCTGTTTTCAGAAGATGCTGAGGGCATCCCACGTGATCCTTGAGGGCCCCTTGGTGCCCACGGGCACCACATTAATGACCCCTGTCTTAAACTAAAGTCAGTCGGGTATCAACAGCAGATTCTCAGATGTTTTCCCTGCACTGCCCTATGGTATAGTTGGATAGAGATTGTTAACCAACGAAAACTATTTAGTTCAATTCTGGAGGATAAAGGGAACCAGCAGAGGAATGTCAGTTCTCCATTAATTTGTGTATACGTGACAATTTGCTGAAAAACTATAAAGTAATATCCCAGTAGCACAATCTCACACTAAAAAATATACTATAATATAAAGATAATTTAAGCCGTTTAGTTAATTTCTTCTGCACCATTAAGAAAAAATAATCAGTTTTTGTTCTTTTGTAACTAAAATAACACCAATTTGATCTTTTTTCAATTGAACCTTGTTTGACACAGGTACAGTTTTAGACTAGTTTTTCCTTAAACTATGAATTATAAACATTGACATAAATCTGCATAAGTATAATATGTTTGTCATTTCCATTTTGACAAGGACATTTTTCATTATTGTACTCCATGGAGAGAAGAAGTAACTGGTTAACAATTAAAAGTTCCCTAAAAAATTTAAAAACAGAAAGTGATATTATTAAGGATTTTATCCACCTATACCAGAATTGCAAATAACAATGCAGTGCTGCATTATAAATATATATTTTGAAAAAAACATTACCACTGTGAACATCCAGTTTTATTTTAAGAATATACGAGTAATTTACCAACAGTTACTCCATTATCACTACAGACACATGATGAGGCTGTTTAGTAGCTATGGTACATTCAGTTGGCACAAACAAAAAACAGCTGCAATCAAAGTAAATCCCACAATATTATTTTCTGCAGCACAAAAACAACATCTGCATTTATTAATTAAAGAAAAAACAAAAACTTTCTGATTTTTTTTTCTGCTGTTATCCAGTTTTGATTGTTTACCAAGAAAAGATCCAACTTTTTGGCCTTTTTATGATTGTCTTCGTCTCCTCCCTGTAAAGAAACAGACACTAAATTCATATTATATATATATATATATATATATATATATATATATATATATATATATATATATACACATACACACACACACTTTTAAAACGAAGCTATATTCAAATCAGCCAAAAAAAAAGTGTTGTAATACAACTGTGGATCTCATATAATAGCAACGATAAAACATCAGACAAAAAAACTCCACAAGGCAGTTAAAGATTTACAAAGATTCACATAGCAAATCTGGACCGGTACAGTAGTTAATACATTCAGTCACGGAGATTAAAACCTCTCTGAAACTACTGCCTCTCACACACTCATTGCTTCAAAACTGGATAAAAACCATGAGGGCGGTTAGCAGATTTAACTCCGTTACAGTAAAAATACTTCTGTTGGTTAGGCACTTCAGTGTCAGGATCACCCTACGGTTGGGCTTTAGCTACCATCTTATTTCAGCCTCTCACACCGGTTACAGCATTAAAGCTGGTTAGAGTTTATTTCTCGCTCCTAGGTTGGATAAGTCATTGATATTGATACAATTGGCAGTTAATAGTTGCTTTAAATCAGTTCTGCAAAATATCACATCAAGGAGGTTGCTTTGCACTGCAGCTCAGAGGACTAAAGAATCAGAACAGCATCCATGTGAGGCAAACTGCAGCGTAACACGACTGGAGTGCAGCAAAAGGCTAACTAAATGCAGGCATTGATTAAGCTGGCTTCCATCAGGTCAGTGATGGAACATGTTAAAACTCCTCCAACATCATCCTTTTCTTTTTTTATATCTAGCAAACTATTGAGAAAACCAGACTTTTAATCATCGATCCTGATATGGATCGAATTCAACAGAAAGTAGCGTCTAATTGGTTCCCTTACTGTTAATTTGCTAATTTCTCCAGCAGTAGTAAACAATCAATGTAAAAACAACATTTTCTGCTCCTTGTGTTACTAGTAAATTAGTAGACACACAAAAACATTACTGATTAGCTGAGATACACAGATTGCAAACATTTCGACAGCTTTGTGCTTCAGTGAGTCTTAACTGAATAGCCGCCTTCGCGCTCAATAGCAACACAGGTTAAAAGAAAAGAACAAAAACTGTCAAACACTTTGAATTAAATTTATATTTTAAAGAAGTGTCATGTATGCAGGCGGACACTTTCATATGGTAAAATGTCAAAAAATATATATGGTGTTAAACTCAGGGTCAGCTCTAATTTATATCTAATTAAACATCTATTATAAACTTTGGAACCTTTTAAGTAATTATTCATAGATTTCCAATTCTCTGGAGTTCAAAAAAAATATCAGATACCAAATTCTCTTAGCTACTTTTCCCATTTTTCAAATCAAAATAATGCACTCTGCTGCTCATAATCTAGAGTCAGAATAAAAGAAAATAAGCAACTGTATAAAAGTTTATCTTTGTACCAGATACGGATCGCAATCATCGACTTAGGGGTCCAAGAAAAATAGTATATTTTGGCATCTAGGGGTTTCCACATGTTTGCAAGAAAATTATCTTTTGTCCTTTTAAAACAATGTTGAACTTTTAGAGATTTCTCATCTCTACTGAGAAATAAACTGTTTAATTGGTCAAATGAGTTAAAAAACAAACATGAACATGTGGAAAAGGACTTCATGCTGGGTACAGTGGAGGATCTGTTACACTGTGGTTCAGCTTCTCTTTCCAGATTATATCTGACATTTTTAATAATTTCATTAATTTCCATCTTAAAGAAATTTCCCTTTTTCCTACATATCTTAAAAATGGATGCAAATAAGTTTGGAGGGCACCAAAATAAAGACTAAAAACAAATCATGACATCCTGTGTATGAACTCTGTCGAGTCTTTCTGCCATGTTGTGGTGTGGATGCTATGACCTGCTCTCTGCTCCACTTGGCTCTGCAGTTAGAACCTCACAGCTCAACCAATCCTGCCTTGGTATGTCAGATCTAACTATAGAAACCAGCAGCCTTTGTTAGTGACAGTCAGCCTGCATCAATGACGCCTCAGTGTTGAGCTGATGAGCTACCTCACCATTGAACGTACAATAAAACATTGAAATCACACATTTTGTCGGTGTTCTCATATTTCCAGCCATCTTATCCTCAATCATCCCTAAATGGGAGATCTCAGATTCGATACAGTGACCTTTCACTGGCACAGAGACGTATGGAAACACACACAAAGCTGTCTTTACTGACGGCAAATGGAAGACATCACACATACACAGATAAGAAGGGTAATTAAAAGGCCTCAGCCCTGAACAGTCTGCTTCAATACAAACTTCCAATGTTGCCAAAGTGTGAGCAGCAAGGAAGCTGTAAACTTTTTACTTTGTGGTGTCTTACTGGATTACATCAGGTAGTTCCATTTGTTAAAGTAACAGATTAGAGGTAATTATCATATTGCTTAACTTTCACAGATCATGGCATTGTGACAGGGGGTGGAAAATGTGCAACAATAAAAGCGGACCGCCATAATCCCTCCAAAAAGCTAATACTTTTACCCTGATGTCTACATAAACAATACGGGCCCTTTTAGCACACCGATCTCATAGCATAGATCAGGTCTGTTCTCACATTAATTGTTGGGGTTACAGTTGAAACATTTTAATCCCAAACATAACTAATCCACATGCCACTGTTAATGTTCTAAGCCTTAGAAGCAAAATGTACACATATTTTGCAACAGACTCCAATTATAACCTTTGGTTAAATGTTAAACCCCCCAGTGGTGGACCTGTGTGTGCAAACCTCCAGAAATCTCTCTCCACAGGTCTGCAGCATTACCACCTATGCATACATTAAACTCATCATATTGCACTTGACAACAGGTTGCAGTGGATGCTGTAGATTCGCCCTACATTCCAACCCTACAAGCCATTGTTAGTCACTGTACGTCTGTTTCTTCCCACCAATAATGGTTCTCCGGGTGGAATCGTGTGGCTCTGTTCCCTCTGGTTCTACCGGGTATATCCCATTTGATGCAGCTTCTTCAACAGAATCTGCGTTAGGTCAAAGGTGGTGAAGCTGATTCCCACAGCTATCGGTCCTTTGACCCAGTTCATGCTGAGGCCTTTGTAGAGTCCTCTGATAACCCCTTCCTCAGAAACGATGTCTTTCATGGTGCCCAGGATGGTGCCGTAAGTGTGACCCGTCACCCCTGCAGTCTGCATGCGTCGTCTCACCACATCCAGAGGGTAGGACGCCGACTGACCAATCAGGCCGGCGCAGGCCCCGAAAGCCAGGCGTTCATATGAGTAAGGCTGTGCGCGGCCACTGTGCTCTGCATGGGAGAGGAAGGAGAAAGGCCATTCTGTCACAACACAAACATTCATGTATTTTATTTGATAGACCAACACAAACCAATAGAGGGTGATAAAGTGGAGGAAAAAGACTCCATAGATAAAAGATTTTACAATACCTGTGTGGTTTAAATCTGTATTTAAATCCATTTACCCCCACATAAATTCCAGTGCAAAGAATTACCATTTTAAATCACCCAATTTACAAAAGTGTGTAATATAATCTCATAATTAATCCAGCTTTCCTGGGTCTCAAACAGGTATCAGCCTAAGAGTCCCCTGGATGCCGTTCAGCTGCGCCACAGCTTCTCATGGATACAGCTCCAGAGTGAATTTGAAGGGCTGGACTGTGATCAGATCAGGACCGCATCATCAACCCGCTATAGCAGTGAACTTCTAAGCTTTAGATAAAACAACAAACAAGTGTTTATTGAACCAGTTCTACCAGTGTCTCATGTGCCATGTGTTATTTAATCACTGTATGTTTTGTTTTTTTAAACCTATGTGCAAGTTCAAATATTTCATTATTTCAGTTATTCTCTTGATTTAATGCTCATATTTATCACAGCTGTCAATTGCCCGTATGAACAACATTATTTATTACATAAAAGTCCATAAAATGTGATCCAGAGGCTGTAGTATTTTACTTGGAACCTGGATCGGTTCTACTGTGCCTTTTATAAGCCGACTTCCTGTCTGAATGATCCACGCTGCTGCAGACTGACTTGGATTTAAAGCAGCAAGTGGCAAAAATAAAACAGTCACTAATTTTAGAGAAGCGTCAAACAGCTGGGGCTTCTGAGACATTTCAGAAACGCACAGCGGTGCTTTCAGTGGAACCACTCTGATTGACTAGAACCAGTGCGTCAGAGGTGACAGCCCGGTGCAGCGCAGTACATGGGCGCCGCTTCCAGTGGAACAGAGGGGTTAGAGAACTTAGAAAATAAACAGCTTCCTGTCACACAATAATAATAAAAATCTAAAGAAGGAGGCAAACTAAGAAAATATCAGTACTGTTAATGCAAGTGGCAGCCATTTTTAAACATACATAGACCATAAAAGCAGGGATGTGAACCTACAGAATGTTGCAAATAGGGGTTAAAAGACATTAGAAACCCTGTCCAGATTTTTATTTGTGCAAAGGAGAAACAGTATGTAGCATCTAACATTTAGGTATAGCCAGATGTCATATTGTTCATTACTATTGCGATTTTATTTCTATTATGGGCTATATAAAACTGGTATATATAAAAATGATGTGTGCTTTGTTTGTGAGGCTCTGTCTACAGAATGGAAGAACTTTTTAATGCTTTTTATTTTGACTTTAACTGCTCTTACATTAAATACCACAAAAGAAAAGAAAGTTAAAACTAAGCCGTTCCATTTTACTGTTAGGCAGTTTCTAATGAAACAAAATATCAGAAAAGTTGCTAGATGTTACAAAAAATATGCGTTTGTTTTATTTAATTTGTTTGAAAAGGGTAAAAATACCTGCGTGCAACTTCTTTAGTGTTTCATAAGTAAAGAAGCTGAGACCAGCATAGGGGATGACACCAAGGATGGTCGGAGAGAAACCTCGATACAAAGTCTTCAAGCCCTCTTCTTGAGAGATCCGCACAAAAACTTGCAGAATATTGCTGTACCTTAACAGAGGAGAAAAAAATATATACATCAAACATGTTTTTATTGCTGTGAGCTTAAAATGGATTAGAAACAATCCTAAAAAGCTATTCTAGGAAAAATCTAAGCTTTCCTTGAAGTTCCTTAAAACTTAAAATCTGAAAAAAATAGATTTGTTTGTGACCATAAGGGATCCGACAGTAAAGCAGAACTTTATAAAGAAATCTTTACCCCGAGCTGCTTGTTTTAGATGTCCTCCCTCCTCCAACACATGTTAACTACTTAGTGTCCTATAAACTGTTGAAGACGCCTAAACAATCACTCATTTATTTTGGTTTGTGTAACAAGGGCAAGTTCCTTCTGTCTGGTTTGAACTCAGACAATAAAATGGTTGCAAAATGGTTGGAGACTCCAAAACGTGCATTTAGCTGACAGAGCAACCAACCATAAGCAGTAATTATACTAAAATTGTAAATACATTTTTTTTTTTTACATTTTCAATTTAAGACAAAAATACTTTCCGTCCATCAATATGCTCTATCAGAACTCCTCAGGTGGAAAATGTTTAGTTTCACCTGGTTTAATTTCACAGAAAGTCTTCTTTGAGGAACCTTTTGCTATCCTATAATTAATCGTTTCAGCGAAAAAATAATCAAGAGATTAGCCGATATTGCAAATAATCGTTAGTCTCAGACCTGGTCTCAAAAGAGAACATTAGCAAATAAACGGCTTCCTGCATTTCAAATATAAAATAAAACAAATTAAGAACGCAAATAATGGATTGACAACTTAAAATTACCCAGGGAGTTATAAAATATATCAACCTAAGGAAAGAGAGGCGACAAAGTATGTTGGGGGGGTTTCCTAAATTCTGTTATCATTATTATAATTAACATAAACCCTTTCATGCATAGCGATCACTACTGCATATAGCTTTGCAATTATGCATATAGTCCAATCTAGTGGAAGCTATTGCATCCTCCCATGCAGAAAAATCCAATATGATCAATGTAATGGTAAAAAAAACAGTCATTGGAACCAAGATGGCTGACACACAAGGAAAAAGACCAACCACCTCAGCCATTTCTGTTTCTACAGGGGAGTAGAGGAACCACCATTCTAACAGAATACCACATTACAACAGTAAGACTAAATTACAACTATATCTATGCAACTACTTTATATATTGATATATAAAGTAGTTATATTGATTTTTTTTTACAGTATAAAATGTATGAAAAACACTGGAGTGGACAGATAAATATTTCTTTACAAAATAAAGACAGAAAAAAAAGTTTACATTCCTAAGGATTTATAAAAACAATTGGTAAAAGAAATCCGGACTGAGTTTGTCATAATTCATGTATGAGAGGGTTAAGTATTTTTTTTTTAAAGTATCATGATAATTAACTAAATTATATTTAACAATATAGGTTTTGTCTGAAACTTTATTTAGAAGTTAAAAAGAAAGTTTCTACAACTTCATCAGACTCATTCAAGCTTAGATTTAAGAGTTTAACCCAGCAAAAGTGTTTAGACATATTAGTGCACATATACAATCTAGTAAAACTAAAGAATTTCTAGAAACTATGAAGATTATCCTTACATTTCCTTGGGGGTTACAGCCATTCTGGCCCTCACCATGTCCAGTGGGTAGGTCAGCATGGCTGCTGTGGTTCCAGCCATTGATCCAGCCACCAACCTAGGGATTGGAGGAAGGGCTCTGGGGGAAAAAAAGAAAAGAAAAAAAAAAATAATAGAAGTGTAAATATATCCATTAGGATTAACAGTTTATTGAAGTTTAGAAAAAAGCCAAAATAACCAAACACTTACTTCCCCTGAAAGCCATAATATCCTCCCAGCAGCCTTTTGTACTGCTCATGAGCACAGAACTGGATGGCAGCATAGGGGATGACTCGCACCATTGTAGCAGAGTTCCCTCTCCACAAACTGAAGAAGCCATCCTTCAGATAGGTGCGGTAGATCAGCTTATACGCTTCCTGTTACAGCATTTACAACAACAGTTTAATAATCATTACATGGAAATAAGGTTACATGATTCCTGAAACATACAGTGACTTATAGCATAAAAGAATATTGCATTCAATGCAAATATGCTTGAGTGCTGAATTAGATTTTTGTTCATCCAGACCATTTAAATACATTTAAATAATTCCTCTCTTTTGTTTAAATAACTAAATATTTGAAGATCTTCCTTAGGCATACCTTGGCTGAGAATCTTGCTGAGGACACTGTAAGACAACCACAAATATGAATATAATTAACTTTAATACATCTTTCTTCATATACCAAATTATTATTTGTATTTTTTGCAGGAAAACATCGGTCTATAATTCATTGTTTGCCATTTAATATTACATAGAGCTTAGCAGAGCATCTCACTTGCCTTGGAAGATTATTTTTGTTCGATCCAAAGGGGCTACGGCGGTCTTAGCCACGGCTCCGGCTAAAGCCCCAGAGAAGAGAGCGTTGAGAACAGATCGAGTTTGTTTGATGCCCTGCATAGCCAAGGAGAAATCCCGTTATTCTTAACAATGTCTTTACATAAACATAGTCGTGTTTCTGACCCAATATAGCATAAACCAGAGTTACAGAATAATAAACACAAACCGTCATACAAGCAGACATGTAGTCAACCTAAGTAAACATGAAGTCACACAGTAAGGATTAAACAGTTGATTTTAGAAGATTTCAGTGTTTGTTCCTACAATTAATTACAGTGAAAATAAAAAAATAGCAGGGATAGACATTTATAACATGTAATAATTATGAAAATGTTCCTTTACTAACAATCTGGGTTCATCTGGGCTGTATGATATCATATCTAACTTTTTTTCTGTCAATATGTGTGATAAGAAAGTGAGACTTTTGGAAAGCTGGAAACCAAGAAACAGCTGTTAACAGTTAGTGATAAAGGAATATCTGTTATCTGGGGAGTGCTGGTCTAGTGGTTAGAGCAGTGCCCTTGTGCTTTGAGAAGGTTGCAAGTACCTGGTTGTGATCCCCACAGCCTGTACTCTGGGTTCCTGCACAAGACCCTTAACCCACTGCACCCAATGCCCACTGCTCCCCAAGGGGATGGGTTAAAATGCAGAGAGCAGTTTCCCCATTGTGGGAAAATAAAGGGATTTACATTACATTCACATTACTTTAACATCTTTAGAACGGTTTATTTGCGCTTTCCTCATAGGAGTTTGACTTTTTGTTTTCTGTTACTTGAAACAGGTGCATTTTGAAATTATCATGAATGTAAAAAATTATTAACAGCCGTCACTACCTGACAGTGACGGCTACTAAAGATGGCGCAGGCACCACGCGGTAGAGGAGGAGTTACGTGACCAACCGGGAGCAAAAAACTGTGATCATCTGTCCAAATGGTCAGTTAACTGAGTGCGCTATAAAGTCCACTATATAGTCCCCACTCTATATAGTGCTTGAGCGATTTAGGGGTTAGGAAGGACGTTCAGGCACAGCAAGCTTGTATAAGCTTTGAGAACAGCAACTTTTAAACAGTGCATGCTCCAGGAGAAATGGGCTTTTCCGTGCTCTCGCACCCGTGGAGAGGGCGGGTCTTTTAAAAACTTTGTGTAAATCATGTCTTTACTTATACCTTTAAATATAATTGTTTTTCTAGTAATTTGCTTAATCTATAAATGAATATGGAACTGAGTCGTCACCCTGAAATATGAATTTTTTATCTTAAGACGTGCGTGTTGGTTTTTAGTTATTTTTTTCCAAGCCAGAAAAGCCCAAAAGAGCACGGTTTAGAAAGGATGGTAACATTAGCCTGCCTTGCTTCCATCACTATTCCACCAAAAGGGGTGAATCCAGCAATCTGGGACTCTAGGTGTGTAATTTTGTAACAATTGTGTAGAGAGACTGGTAAACATGGGTAAATTAAACATGGCAAACTGCTAATGTTGCTAACACTACATATGAACGTGCAAACAAGTCAGATTCTTGTGTGTATCCTTGCAAAAAAGGGAGTTTGTAAGGGTCAGAATAAATTCCACTTCATTTTCCCTAAAAGTGATTAAAAATTAATTTAAAGGTAATTTCCTATGAAATGTATATGTAAAATACTTTGTCAGCAGTCCTTAAATTGATTTATTTGTATTCTCTTAGACATTTCATGCTAAACCCAAGCTTACCAACTACAGTGATGGAGCACCATCTCAAAAAGACTAAGTTAGGAAATTAACTCAGATGTTACATTCTCGTTCCTGAAGAAGCGAATGGAAAGATTTAAAGTAAAAAGAACATATCTGGCATGTTACCTCAAAGCTTGCTTCAGACTGACTGGAGGAAGAGATGGGCAGCACCTCTCCCTGCGTCAGTGAGGCTCGCTGCTCCTGGACTCCGCTTCCCATCCCCCTGGATTCACCAAGCACGCTCATACATTTGGCTGACAAGGAGGGCGAGGGGTGCTCCCAAAGGTGAGAGCTGCAAGAGGCCAGCAGAAAGAAAAAAAAAAGTACACTTTTAGGTCAGTCTAAATATAAACGAAGCAGTGTCCTGTAGATGTATAAATGTTTCCTCCTAGTAGCGTGAAAAAGCATTAGGATCAAGTGACCTAGCATGACGGCTCTCATTCAAACACTGTTAACAGATCTAGGTTTACCCAAACAGGGTTGGTTAAATAATGCAATCACAAACAGATCTCTTCATAAAATTTCAAGCATGCAGAATGCTGAGTCAGATGACTGCCAAGAAAAGCCTTCATGTGTTATCATTAAACACAAGAAAACACTTCCTTGAAGGACACAGCTGAGGACTTCTAGTTGTAAGTAGGTGAAAGGTGTCCATTTGTTGCGTCTCTCAGGACACTCCTGTGCTAGAATACCACATCTGAGCATTACAACATCTCCCAACAATCAGGACCATCTATTCAGCAAAGATCTGATTGAGATCAGGTTTTGGTGAGAAACCTTTTGACTTCTGATCATGGGGAAACAAAGGCCCTCGCATGCTTTCCAATGAGCTAATCATTTCACCACACAAGTCAGCCATTCATGCAACCTTCCACCCCTTGTATTGGCTCACTGAGTCATCTTCACAGCTTTTAATCACATGTAAATCCCTAAAGTTTTGTTATGTAGAGCTAAAACCAGACATTTACATAAGTTAACAAAAAGACCTTTTCTGATATAGAAATAGTCTAAACCTAGAACTTTATAAGCTCTTTTTTGATTGCCTAAATATTTTCTTGCAATTATCCAAAATTATGTCAATAGTTTTTAATCAATCAGATTAAATTTGTAAGTAAAAAAAAACTGAAATAATGTTTGGAAGCTAAACCACGCGACTCAGGAAACATGTTTTTTTTCCCCCAATTACTTCACGGACATTTTCTGATTTCTTTGGACTTTTCTGTGATGTCACACGAGGAAGCAGTGTGTTTAAGATTTGTCTTATAACACAGCCACCTATGTGCTTCGATTTGGCTAAAAGAGTAAAAGCTTACAAAGGCATATCAATATCCAACTTGCAAATATAAATACTTCAACATGAAGTTGAAATCTGTCCTAACAAGTTTGTTCATTTTTTTTAAATCTATATAGAGTTAAATAAAAACAAAGATAAATCAAAACAAACATTACAAATGTTACAAATTTCCTGTCAGAAACGTTTTGGCAACTAATTTACTAATTTTCACAGCAGACAGAATAAATTAAGATAACCTGTAAAAGCAGGGCAGAATCGAAAGAAATCTCTCTGGAGCAGCAGGATGCTCTTTTTACAAGCTAGCATCCAACTGTGTCAGTCAGTACCGAAGCCCTGAACAACAGCTTGCTTTGTTTGATTTAAAAAATAAATAAAATGTCCCTCTTCCAAAAGAAAACAAAAAAATAAGCCGAGAGCCAAAAAGCAGACAGTAGGATGAAAACCCATTTGATGCTTTAAAACCTTAAAGAAACCTTCTCTAAACTTCAGAAAATGTCATTATGGTAAAAAAGAAAATCTTAATCTGTGCTTCCTTTTCTTTTTTTTTTTAATTCACTAAATGCTAAATAAACAGAAGTTATGAAGCATGAGGACAAACAGAGAGTCTCCTAGAAAGAAAGCCGTGTAGTTAGGGGGAACCAAGCCTGGCATCGTTACAAAAAGCCTTTAAGAGGACAGATTCTCTAGTGAACAAACAAAGGCCTTTAATACACCTCCTGTACTTTTCCCCTCTCCAACAATATGTTCTTCTTTTTTTTCTTCAGTATATCATCTTTCACTTTCTTTACTCATTGCTGGCCCAAAAGCCTCTCTGTGAAATAAGTGTTCTGCATCTTTTTTTTTTATTTCCAAACCTCCCATTTTAAATCAGTTTCTGTTGATAAGTTATTTTCTGAATGTTTAAAACCTGAAATACAGTTAAAAGCCTCCCTTAGCTTTTAAATCAAAATATAGACAGATAATGAAAAATTTATTTTTTATTCAGGTTTTAAATCCATTATAACCCATTATTATAACTACCCTTCTATGGTTTAGAGGCCTTTCAATGAGATGTTTTCAAATCAATTTAACTGAAAACTGCCTAAAAGATAGCTACTATGCTTTCCCCACATTTAAAAGAAACACATATTTATGGGTTTTGAAGTTTTTCACTTTGTAACATGAGCCATTTAATACCGTTTATTAGAAAATGCTTTTCTATAACTACCTGCCTTCATAATTTTTAACTTATTACGAATAAAGCAAAGAAATGTAACAAAAAAAATGTAATCAGGAGGTATTTCTCTAAAACTACAACATTTAGTAGAGGGTTGCATATGTTAATGTTTTAACAGAGAACAGCAGCACATAGCAGTTCCTCTGGCTGATAAAAAGCTCCACTTTTCTCTGTGGTCTTGCCTGCCAATCCTGTTTTGTTTTTTCATCCGTTTTATTTTTTTTTAATAGTTGCATTACTTTGCAAATCTGAAGAAATATTAAAAAATGACAACTTTATCTCCATCTACACATTAAAAGAAATATGCCCTTTAAGCTGCCCAACATCTTCATGGAAATATATGTTATCACTGTATTACTCTGTGCTAGGAGTCCGCATTTATCATACCGTTTATCACTATCTTGATAAAGTTTTATTCATGATATCAATTTTGAATTATTATCAAAACAAGAAATTGTTCAAACATGAATAAATCTTATTTTGTTAATACCTTTTTCCCATTTGGGCATTGGGAAATCTAAAGAATAACATCAAATACGGTTAGTAAGGGATGTTTTTTTATTGATATAAATCACACTTTTTTATGTAACTGTTGTCCTAAAGAAGCCCATTTTAAATGTGCATTTGTAGCATTTGTGATTATGCAGCTACGCTTGCTGTGGGACGCAGTCAAAACTAAACAGTTACCCAAGAAGGACTTCGAAGAATCAATGAATTGTGTTTTTAATCATCACTTTGATCATTACCACGATAGTGCCAAAATAAAAACCGCTTGATAACAGTTTAGGCTATATACCCTAGTCGTACTGTGTGCAATATCGAGCTGGAAAAGAGTAGTGAGAGAAGTGGGAATTTATAGTAACCGATATCATGGATTTTTATCAGTAATCTTCCTAGGGCATAATTGTTTAACATCGTCCAATCCTATAGAAGTTTTTAGTAAGCTAAGTCATTGTTAATCAAAAGACGTGACAAGAATAACAAGTTTAATACATTTAATAAACAGTGAGGAAAAACAAAAGATTTTAAGAACCACCCTATCAAGTAGGGTGGTTGGGGGGTAGTGTTGGCCTTATGGTTAGAGCAGTGCGCTTGTGCTCTTAGAAGGTTGCAAGTACCCAGTTTGATCCCCACAACCTGCCCTCTGGGTCCCTGAACAAGACCCTTAACTCCCCACTGCTCCCTGGGCGCAGCACAATGGCAGCCCACTGCTCCCCAAGGGGATGGGTTAAATGCAGAGAGTTAATTTCTCCAGTGTGAAGTTAATAAAGCTTAATTATTACTTCAGACCTGATCAAGGCTAAATTCACTAGTTCCCATCATCTAATGGCAGCATATTTAAATATGTTAGGTAGTAGCAGTAATCATTGCTGCCTATCTGGTGTGAGGTCATACATTTTTGCTTTAAATAGATGATAAAGTCCTGTTGAACATATTAATAACCTGTTTCCCAAACTAAAAATGAAAAATAGTTGATCTGTTAGTACAATTACCTGGGTTTCTTAAAGGGGTGTTTTTTTGTTTTTCTCCAGGCTGTTATTTTGTGGGGCTTCTATGTTGATAAAAAAAAAGAAGAAAATATGCTCTATTTTTGAAAATGACTCCTAATGCTGAGCCTGTCCACATTACCCAGTCAGGGTGGTCCAACATTTATACACCCATTTACTGAAATAACTGTAGTGTCTCTGCTTGGAGCTGCAGGCTTATTCAAACTTGTCCACAAACAAAACAACAGACCCAGTGAATCTTGGCAGCCAGCTGGATGTAACCAGCTAGAAAATACAAACACCCCACGGTATCTTACCTTGTAAAGCTCACACCAAGTCGAAGGTTTATTTCGGTCTGATCTCCCACTCCTGCTGTTTAACTTTTAAGTCGTCTCTGTGCTCCTCAGTGGCTCTTTAACCAACTGCTACTAGGTTAAGTAACGAATGCTAGCTGTTAGCTCCACCCCGCTACATTACCGTCAGTACTACTCTGATATTCAGCTGAGAGGGGATATAAACCATGAGAAGGAACACTGACAGAAGTTTTTTTGTCTGTTTTTTAAGGCACTGTTTCCCTTACAGTTTAAATAACTAGCCGCGCTTCGGTGACTTCATGTGACAGACATCATCCACGCTCTGGTATCTCTGCCGTTACTACTCCTGTCAGCCACCCAAGGCAGGTTTGACAAGGGCGAGCCCCGTTGCATTGTGGGAAACGTAGTCTCAATGAAGCGAGGGACGCTTGGATAGGTTGACTAGAGGGGCGTAAACGGCAACTTTAAAACCTAAACACAGGTATGAACACGGGGCTTTTTCATGGATTTTTTTCCTTTCTTAACCCTTGTTGAAACGTCACTTTTTTCTTGTTCTTTTTTTGGAAAACTATTAAGCTCAAAATAAATTAAAAACATTGAGAAAATGCCTATATATCCCAGCTTTAGTCATAAAGTCATATTAAATAGGTTAAAAAAAGAACCTGGCCAAATAAATTACACAAATGTAACAAACTTTACTTATTTTATGTATAGCAGATCTATGAGTTAAAAATATATATATATTACACTATAAATCAAAGTTTTAAAACCCGTAATTTAAATAATATAGAATAAACGTGTTCCAGCAGATTACGTACTGAATCAAACAGTGACAGTGTATACTATAAAAGCAATTAAGAAGACAAAATCAAAGATCAATTTGAGATCAAGTGTTTTTAATTGCTATTTGTACTGACACTTTCACATTTATTACAATAAGCTGAAAACATGGGCATGTCTAGAATAACAAAAAAAACAACCTGTCTTTCTTGTTTGTTTGTTTTTTTACGAAGAGAATGCCTAAACAGTGTGTAGCAACTTTTATTTTTTTCTTCTTTTTAAGTTCTTACTTGCTAATTGTCTTTAAATGTTCTTTTCTTTTTTTTTCTTTTTTTTAGCTCCGTAGGCCTTTTATTATATCATTTTTTTTAACAAGGTAGACAGGAAATGAGCTAAGAACAAGAGGGAAGACGTGGCAAATGCCTACAGGACAGGAATCAAGCCTGTCAGCCGCACCAAAGTCTCTCTCTGCCCAACTCCTGTGCCATCGCCACGCCCCATCTGACTTGTCAATTCTAATTTCTTTAAGTAACTATACATAATAAGATACATTCAATATATTTTACAAGCCTTTTTACTGTGAATATCTTTTAGCCAATGTATTTCAGACAACACTGTGTGAAATCAGTCACCACTTATAATAGTGGTTCAATAAGCATTACTAAAACAATAATACTGTCTTTTACCTTAAATCTGTAATTTCTAAAATTAGGCAACCATTGGGAAGGTCCTTATAATATATGACAGACAAGATGAAAATCACAAAGATTAAAAAAGTCTAAAGGAGAGAGAGAGCAAGACTTTAAGCATATAAAAAAAGTCTTGCTCTCTCACTCCTTTGCAGCTTGAATGATCAGTATAATTGTCTTTACATGTAGCAGAAAATACAGCTTAAATAGTTATTTTCATCTCTGCATTTCCTTTCTATTTTTCTTCTTGAACATTTCATTGACTCTAATAATACCTAACTTTAGATCTGTAGTTTTCTGAAAAAGAAGAAAAAAAATCTAAACAGTTTTAGTGCGGCCTGGTATCACTATGAAATGGAAAATGTTTTGGTCTGTCAAAAACTCAAAACATTTTGAGTTTCTAACTGACGAGTCACCAACCAAGCCCGATCAAGGTAAAAGTCAGCCAGTTCCAGTCACCAGCCAATTTCATGGTGCATCTCTGCCTTTCTCATCTTTGGCACTCAACTTATGCTTATCTTATTAAATTCATTACAAAGATATTCCACACCAACACTATACCTGCTACTTTAAACAAATACAATGCCTTAACCATGCTCTTTTAATACCATTTAAACAATTAGGAGAAACTCAGCAACAAAACAACAGAGAAGTCCATCAACAGTAAAAGCTTAGAGAAAGTAATGCAAAAAAAACAAAACAACAAGAACGTTATATTGATGCAGAAGCAAACAGGTGCAGAATTTCAACACCTCTGACAGTGATTACTCTCACGCAAATAATGTGGTATAATGTGGTATACAATGGCTATTTTCTCTAATTTGGGTCTGTAATTGGATGGCAATGCTTTAACTCCTCACAAATTTTGAATCATAACATGGGATAAATGGGGTGCTTTTTAATCTACACGTAAAAATCTAGAAATCAAATCAGTGGCTCATTCTAGAATAGGTTCTATCTATCATCTCTGACTTGAACACGCTCATCAGGACATTCCTCAAAGGTGACGGTCAAGCCTGAGTAACTTGCTCCACTCTCCTGGCTTATAACAAAATGGATGTTAAAATAAGTACATTTGACTCTACAGCATTGAATTTGAAAAAAAATATTCTTGAAATAAGAATAAGATAATTGCATAGTCTCTAGATGAGTTAGATTCTATTCAACAAAACTCTATTAAAATTAATCTGTTTTCTATATATTTTTCATTGTCGGATAAAATTACTTTTAGGGCAGTACAGAAGAAAAAAAATGTTTTGGAATCATCGCTAAAGAAAAAGGCCACAAAGTGAAAACTGTGCCTTGTTTTCCTTCATCTTGTCCCTACAACCAAGTGATTAGCTTCCAGTCTGAGTTGTAGAGCTGGACATGCAAATGGTTGGAACTAATCTCTGTACAGGGTTTCTATTTTCTGTACCTGGATTACCCACCTCTGCCAGGAAATCAGAATACTATGTAGAACTATGTTTTTTCATTGTTATGGTTGTACAGTGGCCCTCAGAGATGACCAATGACTTCCCAATTCAGTTCTCAGGTAAATTGAAAGCTCTGTACCATGTGAACATGGCACTCTAACAAAGATATGTACAACAAGACTCAAACAAACACACACACACACACACACACATATATATATATATATATATATATATATATATATATATATATATATATATACAAAAAAAATTTTAAGTAACTTTTTCTTAAAATAAGTGCTTTTTTCTTTAAGCAGGTAAGTGAATCACTTCGACAGTAGAACAACACAATTTACATTTAAAATGAAAAAAAAAAAAAAAAATTGCACTGTCTTACTAAAAGTTTATAACATCTAATTATCTTATTCTAAGAGGAAAAATACTAACTCCATTACCAGATCATTTTATTTACACATTTTAACCCACAGAGGGCAGCAGTAAGACAGTCTCGGTCCAAATATTTCAAAAACTATACAAGTTTACACAAGAACGTCCTTCTTTTGCACAGTAATATAAATACAGCCCATTTAGAGGCCAAATTTTACAGATTGTCTACAAAAAAAGCTGATTTGTTGTTTAGTTAAAGCATCCTGTTTGTCTTTGCAGTGTCATGGAGGTCTGTTTCCAGCTGTCATTGGGTTAGACGTACACTACATGAAAGAAGAACGACTTACAACACTTTTGTTAGATTTACAGTTTTTATTTACTGTGTTTATCAATCTGTAGAATACGCACTACATAAAATAAGAAAGGCTCACCAGAAGCAAGCTGTCATGTAATATGGTAATCAGTACGGGGAGAGTAAAAAATGAAACCATCGATGATGGAAAAAAATAAATAAAAAAAAAAACCTACAGAAGTACAAGGCATTCAATTACTGTTAAAAGATGGTTTAGCCAAAAAAGCTGCACAGCCAACTTAGCCAGAAGGCACAAAAATGTGCATCTTATAAACATTAAAAAAATAAAATTAAAAGAAATGTGCAAACCTCTATTTACTGTGACTTTCACAAGGTTAAAATGTCTGTTTTGTTTTTTTGGGAATATTTTTAATTAAGTTTCATCAGCATTAAATCAGCTGTATCAACAGCTTTATTCCCACCAGGTAGGTTAGTTTGTATTCTTTGCCGTGGAAAAACCTTACAGCTTTTTTGGTTGGAATTAAAGTTGTAACCTGTGCATTGCCGTTTTATTCCACTCCTAATATGCAATGCTGCCATGTTTCCCAGTCCACAGCTCTCGAAGCTCCACTTTGCATCCCAGATCTCGGAGAGCCGCTTTGCCCTCATCACCACAGTCTTTGTGTGTCTGCACAGCCCGAGTTATCAGGGCTTCTGCTCCCAGCTCCAGGATTTGCTGGCTGTAGTTACGCGTTCTTGCAACCAGGTTTCTTATCAGCATACAGGCCTGTTTCTGTTTGACAAAAAGGAGAATAGGAGCATACATAAAAGAGCTTGACTCTCCATCTTGATGCGGGTGTAAGTGCTCTAAGTCATCTCAAGTTACCTGAACATTCAGAGCATTGGGATGGTTCTTCATGGCCTGAACAGCGGCCATCACACCTCCGTTCTCCATGATGACTTTACAGTTGTTGGGTTTTCGTAAGGCAAGAACAGAGAGGCATGCACAGCCCTGCTCACAGACCTGCAGGGGAACATAAGGACAATTTTGTCACATCATATTCACGCTAATAAGTCTTTCCACATTTTTTAACATTACAACCATAAATAACAGATCTTATATGGATATTTTTTAGAAGAAAGTTACAGTGCCACACTATCATAATTAATTATTTTCTATCACATCTAAATAGCTTAAAAAAATCCAACTATATCCGACAGAAAATGAGGAAAAAGCAACCCAATCAGCTTCAACCTGTAAAAGTAATTGCCGCCTTGTGAAATGAAATTATTTTAATGAACCACATTATTCACTTTCAAATAGAACCATGAAAGGCAACATGATTCAGATAAAACATCCAAAACAGAAAAACATCACACCCAAACAAACGTTTGTTTCTGTAGTGGGGAGTGGTGAACATTACCAGACGTTTCCAGCTCATCTACAACCAGAGCTTAAGTAGGGTGGAGCCAGAGGAGTGTATGTAACACCTACAAAATCTAACCCTCAAATTATTATTCAAGCGTAACCACTTACAGCAGGGTTGTTTGTATGTCGGTTCATAGCAATAACAATAAGGTCGACGCCTCCAGCACCGACAACTGCATCCTTAACGTCATCATTTCCTGCTATCGCACGTATGGCGCTAAGGACCTGCCGGGCCAACTCCTGCAGGGACAGTAAAGAGATCAGGAAGAATGAGGAAGAAAAACACACTTGAATATGACTTGTTTTTTTTGTTTTGGGTTTGTTGACATTACCGGTGACTCATAGCTGTCTGCAAGTAAAGTCATCATAAATTTTAATCCTCCCAGATCACAGATGTCTTGACAGAACTCATTCCTGACAGCCAATCGGGATAAAGCTGCGCACAGTTCACTCAGAACAGAAGTATTGCCGATGTGAGCTGTGAGGGAGAGGGAAAATAAAAAATGATGGAATATCCTTTATTTAACCACCATTCAATGGATTACTCTGCCTTACCTTTTGCAGCCTCTATTAGGATCTTCAGTCCACTGTGCTCAAGAACGATACTCTTGGCGTGTTCGTGAGCATGCCCAAATGAAACTCGGACATCGTCGTCGAAGGTCATGACCCTAAGAGCAGCCGATGCCTCCTTAACAAGCTCCGCACTACCACTGTGTCGTCTTATGGCACCGGTCAGCAGCGGCAGAACGCCATCTTTAACCAGATCCTGCCTGTTCTGCTCGTGTTTAATGCAGCAGTGACGCACCACTCGGATGGCGACGCCTGTCACCAAGGAATCCGCCTGGTATCTCTGGAGAATATCTAAAAGGAACCGCCGTCCTTCCTCGTCCAACAAGTCTGGCTGTCCATCTGTCAATGCAGCCAGAGCAAAAAGTGCAGTGGAGGCAAAATCCTGCTCCTCCACGCTCTTTTTGCAGAAAGAGAGGATGATGGGGTACGCCTCTTTCTGAGCAGCAAGGTACCTCTGTGCAAATCCAAGTGAGCACTGCTCGGTGAAAGATTTTAAGTCCGCTGTCACGTCAGCTAAAGCGGCAGTGTCCTTACCAATCCGGAGAGATTCTAAAGCCTGCAATCAGTCCAAGACATGAACATAATCAAAAAAAAAAACAAAAAAAAAAACCTTCACTAACCAAATCTATGTTGTTGTTTTTTATTTATTTATTTGTATTAAAACTCACCTGTAAGACTTCATGTGTTTGCTCTTCTTGATTGTCATCAGATGATGTAGTCGGTACAACTTTCACTATGCAACTGAGATCCACACCTACAAACAAAAACCTGTTTTATTTGTTGTGGCCATTTTATTTATTTATTTATTTTTATTCTCTTTATTGAAATACCACATCATCATAACAAAGATGGTTACAATATTACAACAAAAAACATTTTTTTTTCCCCCTTTTGTACAATCTGTTTTTCTATATAGTACAGCTCGCCCATCGAACATAGGAACAAACATAGAACCTGAGGTGTTCTTTCGTTTTTGTCAAGAGTAAAGGGGGTTGTTTGAAATTAAATAGACAAAGTTTCAAAAATAATTGAAAATTACATCAATTAGATAAAGGAAGGGCACCTTGAAGAAATGTACGTTTTCCATAAATTCCAATTGTCTTCAAATTTTGATTTCTGTAACCTGATGGAAAAAGTTATTCTTTCCATTATGAATATTTTGTAGATGATACCATACCAGTCCTCGATGGATAGGCTGCCTGGTTTTAGCCATTTCTTGGTGATTGCTTTCCTGGCTGCTACACTCAGTATTTCAAATAAATATTTAGTCTTTGTGTTTGTCGATATTGAGTGTGATATTCCGAAAAAAAGTTCCTCTTTTGGTTTTGGCTTCCCACTAAAATAAGGTTGGATTTTATTTCTCCATTTCTGTGTTCTACAAATATTTAGCATCATTATTAAGTTTGATACATTCATTAAGAAACTTCTTTTTATTTGTAATTATTTTTCTATCACAAACCACCCATTTCTGACTTATTTATTTAAATGTGCCTTGTACCTGCTGGGATGTGCCACTGATTCTTATAACATTAAGTCCTGTTGCACACAAATACCTGAGGACCTGTTGTTGTAAATTGAGGACAATTTGCTGGTCTTTACAAGGTACTTTGCTAATGGTTAGGTTTAGAGCTAAGGTGTCATTTGGGTTAGGGTGAGGTATTCATTGGTAATATTTAGGTTTAGGGTTAGTTTTAGGGTTTGGGCATAGAAAGGGTTGAAAATGACTGAAAGTCAATGGAAGTCAATTGGATTCAACACATGGTCCTCATTACATATAGCAGAACTAACTTGTGTGTCACAATAAGAAATCTGAAGTTTGAAAAAGGAAAATAATAGGAGAAAAAAGGAAGAGGAGTCTCTACATAAAAGGCATTGTTTAAACATAGAAACATTGCTCCCGTTTTTGTTATAAACGTTTTCCATATGGATTGTTGTTTATGGACTGTTTATGGAACACATATTACCCAGCTGTGGGTCTGCTGGTGAACCCATTCAGTACTGAAGCTACAAAGTTAGAAGCTGTTCAACACAGTGACTATAGCAAATCAATAGACTGTTATTTTGATTATAACGTGTGCACAACAATTTAGGCTCAAAATAGGATAATATTAAACCTCTAGTACGATAATCCTACATTCCTCAACTGGCAACACAGGTGCAACTGAAGGACTGTAGCTGCTTTCTCCGAGCTAAGACCATATGCATCCATGTCTGTCAAATATCCAACTTCAATGCGCAAACCAAAGACCTCATATTGGTTGATCAAGGATCCCAAGTGGGTTCACGACCCCAACTTCGGGAATCAATGCTTTAGTGTTTTTATTTTTAGTTATTTTACCCTGAGACTCGAACTGCTCCACTGCATCCCTCAGAGCCTCATGTGGATCCATCTCAAACTCCTCCATGTTCTCCCGGACAGCCGCATCAAATGTTTCCTGTGTTATCCTTCGTTTCGACATCTTTTCCTCTTTTCCACACTGTTAAAAAAACACGAAGACAGCGGGTAGAAAGAAGGCAAATGTTTAAGACAATAAACCACACTATTGATAGCTGGAAACGATGCCTGCTATAGCTAGCTAATGGATGTTATGTGTTTTTGCTCTCGTTAACTGTGTAAGTAGCAGCAAATCAACAGTTAAGCAGAAAAAACTGTGCAGCGTAATGTTCTTACAAAAAAAATGGGTATTTCGAGAATAAAATGAATGAAAAACTGAAATATTACCTCCGTGAACAGAATGTCAACCGGCTTATTACTACGATTAAATATACGCAAACGGCGTAGTCTGAAGCACTGTCAGTCAGTGTAAGTTCGCAAAAGAGCTTTGTGAATAGCAAAAAACCCTGCCCAACTTCGTGCACACAGATATTTTGTCCGTTGAAACAAAGAGAGCAAACATTTGTTCCTACAAAGTGCTTTTGGTTAATCGGCGGTAATAAATGATTAGATAAATGCAGGGCTGTCAACTCTCACCCATTGGGTGTGAGACTCACACATCTCAGTGTCCTCACACGCTCTCACTCCTTATACGCAATGTTTCACTCTAAAAAATGCGGACATTAAAACGCAACTCCATTCCACTTATTTATCTATAAAAAAATATATATAATGCTGATAAAAATCCACTAATTTAGTAATCCATTCATCCTTAACTGGAATATAGAGACTCTAAAACATTATTGTTACAAAATTTTAAAACAAATGTGTAAACATGTAACATTTTATAAATATGTAAACATTTTATGTTTAAAATAAAATAAAAATGTCATCTTTCATGATGCTCTATACTGCCCCAAGTGGAAAAGATTTAGCTTCACCTGGTTTAATTTCGTATAAAAACTTTTTTAAGGAACCTTTGGCTATCCAATTATTAATCAATTAATTGAAAAAATAATCGAAAGGTTAGTCTATTTGCAAAATAACTGTTTGTTGCAGCCATCTACAGCCTCCTAGAAGATCTGAATTGTTTGGCTGTTTTGTCAACTGTAAGAAAAACAAATAAGATAACGAGTTAAGATAATTTTTTACCCTCAGACTATTACCAAATATTCATACACAGAGTAGTTTGCATGGGATTTGATGCACTGGTTCTTGTATTAGTGCCAGTTATCTAGTGATTGCCCATTAGTTCCTCATTGTTTATTTTACTTGAACTGCATAGTATAATTAATAAACACAGTTTAAAGTATATTTAAAATGCAATTATTTTAGTAGGGCCCATACTTCTTTACTTCAATTATCTAAAAATCCCCAGAATATAAAAAATAATTTTGTTGTTTTTATAATGTTACACATAACTACAGATAACTTATTGTTATTCAGTAATATTTACTGTTCTTAAAAAATTCCACCGTTTGCCGTTTTGTTTCAGTTAAATCCTCTGAAAACCGACAACTGATAACTGCACCTATCCTCATAGCCTTTCAATCTAACCCTGACAAGGGTGGCCTATCCAAACTATTTCAAAATCTCACTCCAAGGTTTGGTGAAAAGTTGGAAGCCCTGTAAATGCTTAAACTGATAAACAAACAAACACTTTACCAATATGAATTAAGTTATCTACAAAGCGAGGCAAGATATTTACCCTTTCCTGCTTAGCAAATCAGACTTAACATGACTGATAAAAACATACCTGATAGATGAATCCACTATTGCATAATGTATGAGATAAGTTCATCGAAATAAAGAAATAATGATAAAGAAAAAGTATGCCCACCAGTGTCTGGTAATTTTGTAACAACTGTGTTAGCCATCATCCACCCGCTTATCTCAAGCAGGGTCGCAAGGGGTGCTGGTGCCTATCTCCAGCTATCTGTGGTACATCCTGTACAGGGCAACAAACAGGGCAAACAACCATTCATGCTCACACTCAGAAGAATTTAGAAAAGCGAATTAACCTAATGGTCATATTTTTGGACTGTGGGAGGAAGTTGGAGGACCCGGAGAGAACCCACGCTCACTCAGGGAGAACATGCAAACTCCATGCAGAAAGACCCCTGGCAGGGGTTTGAACCCAGAACCTTCCCACCTTTATTTATTTTTCTATCACATTCAATTCAGTCTCTCCTTCTGTTTCTGCGGTTCATAAACTTCTTAAAAACCCCAATGATTCATACCTGATTCTCTAACTTCCCTCAAAGTTGGTGTGGCCCAGTTCTGGCTCACACAATACGCTCACATTAGGCCCACATGCCACAAAGAATGAAGGCCGTTTGGTGGTCCATACATAGGACAGCTATGGACCCCCAGGTGAACCTGCGCTGGCTAAAAACTGTTTTAGCACTGGAACCAGATGTCAGCCTGAGTCCCTCCTTCAAGAAGAGATGTAATAAATAAATTAATTCAAATAGTTATAGCCTTAATCTGATGAGTCCTTTACAGCTGTTTGCTTATTCAGGTGTCACTGCTGAGGATTCTTTTTAGGAGATTATTCTGAGTAGGTACTTCTACACTTCCGCCCATTTTCACTTGATAAAAAGATCCTGATGTTAATTATTCCACAGGTTTTGTATTTTCCTTCTTAAATATTTTCATCCCTCAAAAAAAAAAAAAAACAGGCAATTAATGTGCTAAGTATTTAGTTTTTCATGCTTTGGCTAAAATAAAACAAAGTTTGAGCAACACAAATAATGTTTCTGCATTTTGATTCAGCTTCAGCTTTGGATACAGACCAGCTCTGTTCTCCAAGTGGATGACCCCCTTCCCCCTTAAGCTATTTACGTTGGTCATATGTGTGAGGACACCGGTCAGACTTTCATAGGCCCTGAAAATTGAATTACTTATAGTTACCTGTGCAATTATTAGACAGGTGAACCCCAATGCATTAACTCTACTGGAAAGAAAAAAACAGGCATACATCTGAAGGAAAAACTATTACTCTCTTATAAGGAGACTGCTAACAAGTCACCTCTAGATCTGCAGCTTTTTCTCAAAATTTGAGGAGTCAGTTCCAACCTGTCCACGAGTTCTTGCTCATCCGCCTGAAGAGTAACCTATTGTCATGTGCCGACTCGTCACCACATGCAAGTCCTCATCAGAAGTGAGTCATTAGCTGAAGAGATCATCAGAATGTTGTTTAAAAAAAGAAGAGAGTACAATAATGCTACATGCCGTTTGAGCTTGATGTTTTGTAAGCCAGGTACTTTATTTGTTAGATTCACATTCTGTGGGGTAGCTTGCACGCATGGAGGACATAAAGCCGCACAATTCACAGCTCCTCTAGAGGTGAGTTTCCCACATCCAACATAGTAATTAAGCATTCATTTGAACTAAAAGCTTCATCCAGATTTTGAAATACAGTTTGAATATCAAAGTACACTGTTGGTCTATCCAACTCTGAGAGAAACAATATGGCCATTTTTAACTGTAAATGTTACAAAAACAGATTCATCAAATTTCTCTTTCTCACACGACCTTGAGTCCCCTTTTTTACATCACAACATCAAATCTTCTCATATTTTATTGGGAACTTTTTTGTTAGATAAACACAAGGTAGGGTCTAACCGTGTGGTGGAAGGAGAACAATACATAGTTTTCTAAGTATTTTACAGGTTTAATAGGTTTACAGTTGCAGCATACTCAGATGAGCCAATGATCTTTGGGGTGTGAATATTTGTATTATTGGATAATACAGAGAGGATTAAGATAATTGTTTTACCAAATTCAGAGCACACCTTCTTCCAACAACATCTCAGACATTTCGATGTCAGAAAAGTTTAGCCTCTTCAGCAACATAGAAAAAAAAATATGTATATTTAAATTGTTTTCTAATAAATCTCGGTATATGCAGCTTTTTAAAGGGGATATCACCTAAGAATGACTTTTCTCCCAAGTAAACCTATATTTAATGTATTTATACTTTTAAACTGTTCCATATTTGTTACAGTATTAATAAATGTTAACCTTTGCAGCTGCAAACATCTTCAAGATGAAGGCTTTACATCCACTTCAGATCAGCATTTTTGTTTTGTAGGACTTTTAGTCTATTGCAGCAGATCTAATCAGATTGATCAGTCTGCTCCAGCTCTAATTTCCTCATCTTATTTGTTCTTGGTCTCCACAGGGTGTGTCTGCTGATCACTATAACCCTTATCCATCAAAACACACAAGCAGTTGTGAAGCAATCTTAGAGCAGCAGATGGAATCATAACTGAACTCGTGGCTCTGCATGATCTCGAAGAAAGCAACAGCTTGGTTTTCTTGTAATTTAGCTGAACACCAAGATCTCTGATATGCCGGTGGTGCTGCACTACATTGCTTTTTTTAAAGGTTAGGTTATAATTTTGTGTTGATGTAAAAAAAAAAAAAAAGGAATTCAGTCCTCTGAAATAAAAAAAACAATATGTCTGAACTTAAGCATGAACTTAATACAGGAAATACATTTAGTGCTTAATTTGATCAATTTTCTTTATCTACAGTTTTAAAGGCACTTTAACCTGGATTTAATGTTGATTGCTTTGAAGTTTGCATCAACAGCTGCAAAAACTTATTCAGTATCTACAGGAATACTGGTTAATCCTCTTAGGAATGTTTAAACAGTTGATATCAGTCTGGATTTTGAGCCTTTTCACATTTCGAGCCCCACTCCCATAGACTGCCACTCTGGGTCTTTAAGCAAGACCCTTAACCCCACTCTGCTCCCCGGGCGCCCCATGATTACGTCCCACTGCTCCCCAGGGGATGGTTTAAATGCAGAGGTAAATTTCTCCAATGTCAGATCAATAAAGTTAAATTATTATTATTATTATCATCATATATGAGACTCACAAATGATGCATAAAAAAACAAAAGAAATCTGAAAAGCACATACTTTCTCTATTTGTCTTTTTAAATGTTTATTGATGTGAATAATTTTCTGTATTTTTGTTGTCGGTTTATGGTTGAAATACAGACAATGAAAATTTCGATCATTGTTAGGACATTCCACTTCACACGGAAACAACAAATTACCTAGTTGGGATGGTCATAAAGGTGGCAATGGCCCCATCTAGCAACGCCACTGCCACACATCTAAAGTCTACCAAATGACATTATGATGCTCTTTCTTATTCCCTTAATCATTAGGTCCTCTTAAAATGACTTCATTGATTTTTAATCAATCAAACCTTTATTCCTTAATAATTTGTTAATAATTTGTTAGCCACCAGCCTTCATCATACATTCATAATAAAAGATATAAAAATACAAATAAAGGAGCGTGAAAAAAAAGAAAAAAAGACAGTTTATGTGAAACAGCTACTATAAGTGTGCTTTAAAAATCTAACAGCTTCAGGAACGAAAGACCTAAAACGTTCACCCTCTGTATGCTTTTATGTTGTGCTGTTTTATGCGCTCTGCTGTGTCCCATTCCTGCAGTCAGTATCTAGCTCTCTGAGCAACCTG